CTTGTCACAGTGAAAAACAAGCCATCAAGGAATGCGGTTGCTGGTGATCAGGTCTGGAGGAGCTCACATTTTTGAGGCAGATTGCTGTACTTCCTACAGTTCCCCCCTTAATGATGCTCTAGGCCTATCAAGCATCCGCTCAACTCTGCTACCATCTCACATATAACACCTCCCTTCTGGGCAGGTGCCCAGTGGCGGTGACCCCCTGCCTTAGGTTGTCCTCTCCTTGGCCAAAAGATGATCTTACCCGTCATTGAGAAATCACCTCATGCACACTGGTAACCGCTCATTCCCGCTGCGACATCCTCGACAGTTTTCTTCCAGAATCTGGTATTTTCTGCAGCGTGGGAAAGGTGCACTCAAGAACCATGAGAGCCATTGACACCACCTACTAGTGTTAAAACATTGAGACAGGTTAATCACACTAATATTTAATCACTAAAATCAATTGGATATCTTCAAACCATCATGCTGAGATTACTCAGTGAATTTAGATTTCACACCCGTCCATTCAGTGTAATGTTTTGCTACTTCTGTAGCCGGAGCCATCGGGCCCTTTATGATGGTGGAGACTAAAATTAAGACAGATAAGTTACTAGTCATAGAACAAGCAGCAATACAACTGTTTAACTATTCAAAATCATTACCTCTATAGTTCAGGGTCTGTATTATGATTTTAAAGACCTCATGTCTCTTCAACAATAGCCCCTAGATTGTTATTAAGTCTTTTTACAATCTCTTATTTCTTAAATGCATTGGGCAGTTGAAACATTTAACTACCAATCGGCCTCTTAATGCATAAAATCAGAACTCCTTGTAGCATGTCCTTTAACATCACAGGGTCTATGATTTTCAACTGAAACACTGCTTTACTATAAATAGCTTGATTATCACTTATGACACAGGCTCAGATAACAGCATTTAGCTCACTTTGAATGAGAGAGAGAACTCTGAGGGATTCAGGACTGGTAGAAATGCATTTTCATTAGCTTTTAACAATTTCATTGTACTATCGCTTTACACTAGCCCAGCTTAAAACTCATCAGAAATGACATGCATTTTCAAATAAACATCTCTATTTTACTTTATTTTTGCAACTCAAAGGTTTCTTCAAAGTAAGTTATTTTGCAGTCCTTATCGGTACATTTACATCAACTTTATCCATTCACTTAATTCTGGCCATGGCTTTGGAATTTCAACAATGGTTTTAAATCTGTCAGGGGTTATCTGACCCAGATATGTTACTTTGGGTCGTGCTAGCATGCTTTCTTCAAAGTTATTTTGAAACCCCCGTTTATGTTACTTGTTTACAACATTATCATCTCATATGCAAACAGTAATTTTTTTTCACTGGAAATTGGCATTTGGCTATGATGCTGAGTGGCTACATTTTTGCAATCCGACAGTAAAATTACTCTTTTGCCCAAACATCAGTAAACATAGAAATTACAAATTTTCACTCAGAACATGTCTCTGTTACTTTTACAGCTTAAGCCAGAGTCATGGTGTGGGGCCGCATGAGATAAAAACAACTGTTTGGACTGGAACAGATTTATGATATAATTCTTTGTCATTTAAACAAAGAATCAAATTAAATCATCACTCAGTTACTTCTGGGATTATTTTGAACAAATATCCACTTTACACATCTGAAAATAGGCACAAACATTTAGAAATTTGTATCTTCCTGGTTCTTTCTTTGTTTGCAGCTAATCAAGTTTTTGTTTTAACTTTCCAATCAGAATCAAAGCGCAGGCTGACCATTCTTTCAAGAAATTCAAAGAATATCTTTAAGGTGAGAGCTTCAGAGCTGAGCTGTTTACAGCATTTGCTCTCTTCTGTTCCATTATTTCTATCAGGACTAAGCAAGTTACCTAATTTGTCAGCCATATTCTATCACAAAACAAAAACCAAAAGAGATGATAGCAGCAAGAGATTGAGGTGGCGATCTTACCAACAGCACTTGGCTTCTGCGTGATGAAACTGCAAATTCTGTCAGGACCACTCTCGTCAAATATAATTGACAATTAGCATACAGTTTGGATTGGCGTTATGGACTAACGTGACCTGCCAGAACTAACGCTACGCTTGATGTATATTCCAGAATTTCCATATACTGGTCCAATCCAATTAGGGTCATGAAAAGAACATTTTAGCTCTTTCGGGGTTGTTCCTGATGCATCCCAGATCAATCAATCCTTGCCGTATCTTATATATATATGGATATGAGTATTTATTTTTCAATTATTATTATTTTAAAACTATTTTTGGTTACTTTTTTCCCTAACCAACTGATCTGACCTGATCGCTAAACTCGGGGCACCCCTGTCTGAGACGGAAGGAATAGAGAGTTGATTGAGCGATTTACGACTAGAACCCCCCTTCTAGCGTCTTACATTATCTCGGTATTTTATATAACTTAACACAGACTGCACTATCTGGCCTCTACGGCTCTCAGTGCCACAGACTGCACTATCTGGCCTCTACGGCTCTCAGTGCCACAGACTGCACTATCTGGCCTTTACGGCTCTCAGTGCCACAGAATTCTAAGACCTATAGGTGTGCACCCGTACACCTTTCCACACACACAAAGTAACTTAACGTTAAAGGTGTACCTCAACCTAGACACCAGTTTACCCAAAACAAATTCACACAAAGTCTGGTGTCCCTCACTCACGTCTGAGTGAGTATCGCTCTCCCTTCTCTCACACTGCCTCCGCCACAGACAGTCCCTAACCAAGAATAATCTTTAAAGATAAAATCTTTCTTTCCTACCTTTCTTTCGTTGATTGATCAGAGATGTCACTGAAGAACGATTGCCCGCATTCTCCACCATTAACTGTAGGGGAATTTACAGTTAAAACCCAAGGACCAGATATGATGAATGAAGACCATGAGTCAGAGATGCGATCAATTAAAGAAAATTTTACTGAAGAAAATAGTTTGCAGTTTCATAAGCAGAAGCTAGCTTCGATACTCGCGATGGAGTTCGTAGGCCGCTCTGCATACATGTCAAAAACACCAATAATTATACTCTAACAGAGGTCACTAATTACGTCAATACATATCTCTTAAGTGATTATTTAGGCTAGAGATCAGGAGTCAGACAAAACAGGTATCTCCAGAGACCTATTCCTGATCAGTTGGGGGGCATCTGATGACGAGCTTCTCCACTTACTCAGGAAAAGATGCCGACACACACAGAAAAAACGTATCTTCTGTTCAAGGTGGCCTGGCTCTGGCGAGAATCTTATCAGCATTCAGCATGGTTCATTACACACACACACACTATGCCTGTCTCTTTTTAGAGAGTAAAAATACAGAATAACACAGGATTATTTAATATTTATTATGCAATTACCAGTTAAATTGCTCAATAAGCAAGTTGCAAGCAATATCATAAAACAGCAGAACACATAAATGTCACAGTTGTCCCAATCACTGTCGCTCACGTAGATGGGAGGTCACCCTGACCTAATCATGGCACTGTGACCCTAGGAACAGAATAGACTTCAGCATGGAACTAAGTCAATCATCAAATAATCTAGGAGGTTAAATACTGATCAATAACTTGATTAATAAACACACAAGAAATAATGAAATAATATTATTATGAAGGATATGGTAGATCGGCATCCACTCCTTCACCCTCATAAGATTAACCATTTAAACACTGTTGCTTTTTGTTGTCTGTAGGATAAAGAAGTGTAAGAATTACTATGAGGTACTGGGTATCAGAAAAGATGCCAACGATGAGGAACTGAAAAAGGCCTACAGAAAACTCGCTTTGAAATTCCACCCTGACAAAAACCATGCGCCAGGAGCAACTGAGGCTTTTAAAAGTAAAGCTGCCCTGAAACACCATATCCAATACATTGATGTACATAAAATATAAAACAATAAATGCTGTTTTTGTTCTTCTCCAGAGATTGGAAATGCTTATGCAGTGCTCAGTAACCCAGACAAGAAGAGGCAGTATGATGTCAGTGGAGCAGAGGATCACAGCAGCCCAAGTTACAACGCTCATGGAGGATTTGATTTCCACAGAGGTTTTGAGTCTGATATTACACCTGAAGAACTCTTTAACATGTTCTTTGGAGGAGGCTTCCCCTCATGTAAGCCCTTTTGTATAGATCATAAGCAGATACTCACACATTGCACATATATATTTTCTCCACATAGATGGAGAAATCTGCACAACATTCACTTGTATAAACAGTTCTTCTGTGGCTTTATAGGTAATATTTTCACTTACACAATTTAGCTAAATCAGACAATATTGTGTCTAATACTGTATATACCACAATATTAATTTCTTATTATTGAATTGTTGTAAATAAATATCACATTTGGAACTGGTCAGTGTTCAAAAAATGCTGGGAAATCACTTCATGTAGCCCTACAAGAGTGATTACTGATAAACTGTCTGAAAAAAAGTTTTTAGAGCAGAAAGAAATCACCCACTGACTTTCAAAGCTGCTAACGACTTTCTACTTCGAGGACCTTCATAGAAATGTAGTGGAGTGAAAAGTACAATATTTGTCTTTCAAATGTAGTGAAGTTAAA